AAGGCTCAGAAAGGCTATGGAGATCTTGATGAATGCGTAAGTGTGGGTATATGGTGGTGGTGGGTACTTCTACCCCTTGATTAGATGATAGAAATATGTTACAGAAAATCTACATACTTTTGAACATTTTGTAAGGATGAACTTGATGGCTCAGTGTCTTCCAGACTTAAATAATTATGTGCCAATTGACAGCAATTTGGAATCCCTTGAAACACTATGGCTATTGCTCACAGCTAGTTCTTAGTCATGCTCTTAGCCTCTTAGTATTTGGACCCTGAATCTTGGAAGTAAATTATCTGTTATCAAGGAGATAATTTATGTTAAATAAAAATTCAAGTTAAGATTAAGCATAAATCAGCGTGGAATGAAAAGCAGCTTTTAATACCGCATGAAACCCAGAGACTTCTTAGGAAGATTGGAACAAGTACATAGGATATGTCAGAGCTGCTGGAGTGTTGTTATTGTTAGCTAAGCTTCATTTAGCCTGTTTTAGTTCATGACAGCACAAGCACAAGCCTTTGCAAAAACAAAGGCCACGGATCCAACCCTGAGAAAGCTTATTCAATCTTAGGCTTTAAAAGTAAAAATTGTGATGCCAAATTATACTCTCCACTCCTTTTTATAGACAGGGAATTGATGAAAAAACAAAAAAAAAAACCAAAAACCAAGCAACCAAACGAACACAAAATTAAACAAACAGACAAAAATCTTTGAGTGGCCCCGAGATTCCTTAAGTCTGTATGTCAACTCTTTCCTTTTCTGCCAAGTTTTGTTAAAGTGAGACCTCAAATGTTTGGAATGTATTCATTCCACAGGCAATAAAATAAAAAAAATGACATTTTGTTCATCTAAAGGGAAACCAACCATGAGGTGGAACAGAACGAATAAGCAGAGTACAAGACTTAGTTGCAGTGCAAGCTATGTTTAAACGAGAGCCCTCTACCTATCTATGAAGAATTCTGAAAGACAAAAGTAATCTAGTTTGAGGATGTTTTAGGACCACAATTGTAATATGGATCAATGTACTTACGATATCTGTATTTCTCTGACTGGATTAAATGGTTTCTTCTATTGGCTTTTTGTGGGCATGAGGATATGCTACTAGTTTATAATAGTTATATTTCCTCACTAAGGACCAACAAATTAGCACTCTGCCTTGTGAATCAATCTCTTTTGTAGGGCTGAGTAGTATATCTCTCAGGTGTTCGTTCATGCTAGAAAAGTTTTTCTCATCAGTCTTTGAATTGTACTACACAGATGTTCACGTGGCCAGAAACCCAGATGATATTGAGGTAAGGGGTAAAAGTAGCGGTACGGTGCTTGTATTTTACTATGTGATATATGATATATATATATATATATATACATGTATACATATATGTATACATACATATATATATATAATGTATTTATTTGTAGGAAAATGGTTTGCTTTATAGACTGTTTTACAAACGGCTTTGGGACACAATAATGGAGTACTTGTATTACATTATGAACTTAATGTAAAATGTTGTTTTGATACTTAGCTTTTGATTGTAAGAATCAGTGGGTTTAATGAAGGTAGGCTAGTAAAAGGTAGTATGATCAAGCAAATTCTTCTTCAGTGCTATTTTATTCTCAGAATTCATTTTGAAGCTTACAGTTACCGGCATGCAGTGTTAGTGACAAGCCTGGGCTAGATCACACCAGCAGGCCTTTGCCCTACAGGTGTTGCACAGAGAGCGGGGAAGCAACTAGCCCTGCACTCTCCCACATGCATTCACTTGTGTGATGCGTTTGTTTCTGAATTGAATGCACTTTAAGCAAAACCCTTGAATTGTGAAGTTGCTTTCGCTTTTGTCTTTGAAATAGATTTGGAAATAATACTCCTATCATTATCTTAGGGCATTTTATATGCAAAGAAACCAAGATATACTGATATTTAGTAACTTGTTAGAAAGAACACAGCTGGTTGAACACCAAAGTCAAACCTAGAATGGACTCCTAGTTCTCTGGCCTAGATTTCTTCCTATTGAGATCCGCCACAGGACAGTTTGGAGTAGCTGCAAAGAACTTATGAATTCAAGCTGGAAGATACCTTGAGGCAGACATTCCCAATGCTTGACCATGTTGTAGTATTTAATGGCCATTTTTGTGTTCACAATGTGTATGAGACACGATGCTAGATATTGCTGGGTGGGGTGGGGGTTAAAAACAAACCTATTTGAGAGAGAGAGCAAGAAAGGGTATATTTGAGGGGTTGGAAGGAGGAAAGGGAAAAGGATGTAAATATTTTTAATTTCTAAATAAGTAAGTAAGTAAATAACCTGGTACCTTCCCCCAAGAATCTTGCCTTTGGGGGAGAAGAATAATCACCTTTTCACGGGTCACATTCCTGTGGACTCTCTTCTTTCTTTGGCCTGAAGATGTAGGCACTGAGGCACTGCCTGTTTCAGTCCTTGACTTGTTTACTGAAAATATTTTTGAGTTTTTATTACCCTTTGTTATCACACTCTAGATTAACATTGGTCTCCATCTCTTATCTGTCATTAACATCGTGGGGCCATTAATTTCTAATAACCCATAAGACATTTCTCCTTGGATTCTTACCATCACCTCAAACTTAACAGGTCAAAACAAGAGATCATCATGTCCTACATTCTCACCTTTATCCCAGGTTACCTGTTGCTACAAATAGCATTAACACTAGTGCCTGCATTCTACAGTATTAATATTTTGGAGTTACTTCTCAGCTATTCTAACAATGTCTGTAATCTAATCACTTCCCAACTTCCATTTAGTCTTTCTTTTACAGGTCTCTTCAGTTCTTCTTCATCTCATTTTTAGTACCACCAACCTAAGCTTGAACTTTTATTCAAATTTCCTTTCTGTTATTTTCCAGCCCAGCCAGTTCACTGCACCCAGGTTAAGATTCTTGCTGCATCCCACAGATGTTAATCTCACTCCTGGTGCTATTTCTGGTACCAAAATGGAATTCAGACACTGCAGTATTTTTGCCATTTACCACAGGCAAACTTATTCAACATAATCCCAAGTTTTACCTCCTTTCTAAAGCCTTCTCCACGTGGTCTATATTTTACCTTTGGACTTACCGGTTTAATTATCTCACATTGTTACATTCTTTATGTTTTATAGTCACAACAGCATTGTAATTTCCCCTAAGCATAGGGACTATGTCTTATCTACTTTGGAGGTAAGACTTTGTTTTTACTGAGCTTGAACTATACTTGCTTTATTGGGTTATAATACATTTGAGATATTTCAATTGGAACACAGGAAATAGTAAAATAGACGAAAGTAAGCTAGAGATGTAGCTCAGTGGTGGAGTAGTTGCTAAGCATGCTCAGAAGCCTGGGTTCAATTCCCAGCGTTTCCTCCTCCCCCAAAAAGATAAAAGTAGAGGTCCACAGAGAGCTATGCTAATTGAGAAATTATTACAGTTATCATTCATGGCATCAAGGCTCCAAAGTTGGGCATGCCCCTTGAGTATCAGTGCTTTCCCTTTAGAATTCCTCATCACCAGTTCTTGGTACCCCCAAAGGCCAACTTATCAGTGCATGTACCATGGAAGGATCTTTCTTCTCAGGTAGAGAGTTTATAAATGCATTAGAAGTTTAATTAAAGGTAGGAGAGAGCAGGTAATGGGAAGTGAAAACGTGTAACAGTAAATTAGGAAGACATTGACATGGCAGATTCAGCCTTGCCCCAAACTGTGAACTTTCTGTTTTAACTGATTGGATCATGGTCTAGATTTTTTTTGTGGGACCTGAATGACCAGCATAATTAGTATTTGCACAGAATGAGAAACAGTATTTTTTAAAAGAGATAGATGTAAATATAATATATGAAAACGAGAAACAGTACTTTTAAAGGACATAAATGTAAATATAATGTTGATTGGGCTTATTTACTATGTAAACACAGGTAGCTTTTAGTCACAATTGGTGTATTATTTGTAAAATAATGACAGGAAAGAATTTTTCAGTGACTTAAATTTGATGCCACAGATATGATAAACTTAAAATTGTGTAGACACAAATTTCAGCTAGAATATACTGTGGCCATGATACTTAATAAAACATAAAATGTTTGCTATCATTCTTAAAACATTCTACAAACAAATCCAAGTTAGTTGCCCTCTAAATATATGGTAGCTTGTTTGATTTCAAAACAATTGTAGGGACAGGGATTTAGATCCACTGGATTTAAAGCGGCAGCGCCTGCCAGTCTATCTGGATACCATAGAAAATAGTCAGCTAATCCTGACTGCTAAGAAGAAAACTGCTCTTGCCCTAAGAGTTTGATTAAATCATGTGATTTCTTAGCTCTGTGTTAACCTAGTGTGTTTTATTCTAAATTACAAAGTAGATCGTAGGCATTTCTTCTGTTTATCTGCAGCTGAGAAGGCTTTCTTTTTGCAGTCTTTAGTCAACTTGCCAATTTCTAGCGTGCAATGTGCTTCAAGGAAATTGCTTAACCTGCTTGAGTCTTTTTATATTTGTCAAAGCGAGGAGGTGGGGGAGGGGGAGAATGAGAACCAGAGTAAGAATGAGGGAGCGAGGGAGAGGGAGAAACATCCTGCCTCAATTATAGGATGCTGAGAAGTTTAAATGCGTGAAACTTCTTGTCAGCCCTCAACTGTTCAGTTTACCTGCAGCAGTCACTGTACCCTGTTATTCTAGAACTGCACTAGAGTAGCTCTGCTGCAGCCTTAAGATGGGAGTTTAAGATCTGTTTTGCACTTTTGGCTGAATTGTAAAGGCCCTGGAGACTTGGGGAGTGTCACCTCGACAGTTTGCCATATTGCGCCTGCAGCAGAGGCAGTGAGCCACACTTGTTGACAGGCTGACTCGATGATCAGATCTCTGGCCAAGAACCGAAACAGAAAGAATTCAGATTAGCAGCCTAATTTAAAGCAGATAAGGCAGAGCAGGTACCCCCAAACTCCGAGGTATTTGGTAAAATCAGAGAACTTTACTCCATGCTCCCAATTTCCTTACCTGCTGATTCCAGGCTTCACAGTTTAAGGTCCTGTCGAGTTTGTTCCTTGAAGCAAGAGCCAAATCTTCAGAAAATCCAAACTGTAAGTCCCCTGGAGAGCTAGCCCTGGATAGTGAGCTGCAGAATAAATCTGGGTCCTCTGGATGGTCCACTCCATTCACAGGGCGTCTGCTCTTTAGGAAAGCTGCTTTTCAAGAGGAGAGAGGTCAGGGCATGGCACGTTTGCTAGCCAGCATATACCGATTCTTCTTCCTCTTTCTGATTAGTCCTCAAACTACTTAAACCACGCCAGTGTTTAGCTTCCCTGGTGCAAAGTGGGAGAAGGGAGGGAACAGAGAGGGAGAAAGAATAGCAACTGGAGACTTGCAGGTTATATGCATAAATGAGTGTTTATCTCTAGCTACTGCAATAAGCCTCAGGAAGTCATGCAGCTGCTCTGAGGTGGGAAGTAAAGAGGCGTGTGTGCTGTTCAGCTTAGTTCTCTCTGATTTTTATGACTGGAGGGTGGTTAGGCTATTTGTAGGCGGGGAAAGATAATCCTAGTAGTATATGCTAATATAACTGGCTTTATGTGAAACTCAATCTTAAGATAAGATATATTTCCTCCCGCTCTCTCTGTCCCACCCTCCCTCCTTCCCCCCATCCTCTCTCCTTCCCTCCCCCTCCCTCTCTCCCTCTCTCTGTGTGTTTCCCTCCTTCATGGCATTTGTGATTCTATAAAAAATTTAAAAAGTCCGTTTATTTTTGGTGGCTTATGTCCTAGAAGAAAAAGGACATTCCAATCTAGTATGTGCTTCTTAGAGCCTGAGGCAAGATTTTGATGTTGAAAACAAATTGATAAGACTATGAAGTAAACCGGGTAAATGAACTACATTGAATTTTACTATCAAGATACTGTGTTGGGATAGACATATATATCAATGCTTTGTAAACATAGCCTCGTTGTTAATAACTAGTTTGAATGATTTCTAAATGTCTGGATAAGAGTCCAACAATGATTTCCTGGCCTGTTATGGGCTACAAGAAAAAAAAATCACTCCAATTTTGTCTCTTTAGGTAGCAGAGTGACTTTATAGTCACTCTTCATCCTCTTCTACAGCATCTTTGGATGTGGTGGTAATGATGATGCTTGGGAGAAAAGGTCATTTAAGTATATTTAAAAGAGAAGATGACATTTGGATTCAAGACCAGACTCTAATCTTATCTTTGAGAAGTTTACCAGCTGGTATTTTAATTAGCATTTCTTCAATGTAGTTGGGCTCCCCAGAGATCTATAAGGAACTTGGTTAGAGATACAAAATATGCACTTTTTCCTCTGGTGTGAGTCGTTTATAAGCATTTTGACTTACAGTAGAAAGAGAATTTATATCTAGACGTTGAAGAAAAGAGCTTTAAGATAGCACCATTGTCGGGGTGGCAGTGAGGGGCGCTCCCCTACTTGTTTACTTCTTTAGCTGTGTCTCTGTTCCTGGTGATGGGAGGAGCAGTGTAACACTCAGCCCCATGGGGCCTTGTACAGCTGCTTGACTCCTGCCTACCATGTTCTCCATTATTGACTGTATTCCACGTCTCCTTTCCTATCCCTCACACCCCTTGTTTTCTTCTCCATCCAATTGTGTCTGTCTCCCCACACTGCCTACACATGATGAACTGGGTAAATTGACCCTTCTCTGCTCTTGTCTCCCCGCCTTTTCTCACTTTCCTCGATCTTTTCAGTTCTGACTTAAAAACATGGTAGAGAAGACCAAATAAGGAGTGCAGAGGGAAATGGGGACTCGCATGCGTGTTACATGGGGAATCTGTGTCAGTAAAGCACCACTTGGGTAGAAGGTTGAGTGGTTTTCAGCCATGTGCTAGTCACACAGTAACTGTAAGTCACCAGATCTTCTCTGGAGCTTGTGCAAACTCAGAGCTGACCTTGTTTAGATTTTATATTAATTTGAACTCAAACAGACCTGGTGTACCTGTTTTATTATTGATTTCTCCAGGTGTTAGCTCATGGCTTTATTTAGTTTGTCTAATAAATAATACAATTCAGCTTTCTCATATTTCAGATGAGAAAATAGGCCAAAGGAAAAGAGGCTCTCACAAGGTGTCCCCCACAAGCTCACTTTTTAAAATTTTATTTTTTATTGTAAAGAAAGTTTTTTTCATACAATATATTGTGATGACAGTTTCTCCTCCCCCATCTCCTCCCAGATCCTTAACAATTCCCTGTGCCTTTAACTCCATTCCTTCTTTCCCCCTCTCTTAAGAAAACAGACAGGCAAATAAAGAACAAAAACAAGGATAAGAAAGAGAACCGAACAGAGAAAGAGCATGAAAAATGAATATACACACATACTATGAAGAAAATAAAAGATGTCTGTACACACTTTCTTCTAGCCCCTTGCAATTTAGTTAGTGCTCCTAGTTGCTTGTCCTGTGACATTACCAGCAGATTCCCTAACACACACACACACACACACACACACACACACACACACACACACACACACACACACACACGGTGAGAAGGCACAATGCATCTATGGTTTTTGTTTACAGAAAAATCAATCTGGCTTTTGAAACATGGTCTCCACCAATTAATTTCTTCTTTTTGCTCCACTATCCAGCCTGTAAGTACAAAGCAGTGCTGAGTTGTAATTTCTAGTGAGTTAAGAACACTGTGATTGCATTACAGTGAGTGAAATTGAAAACCCTGAAGATCAGAATAGCATAGACCACTTAGGGCAGACTCTAATCATCTAAGCTAATTCTCCATACATTTTTCTATTCTGTTCAATGTGATAGCTGCTAGCCACATGCAGTTATTTAAACTTGAGTGTAAATCAATACAACATAAAAGTCTATCCTTTGTCCCCCTAGCTATATTTCAGGTGCTCAGTAGCATAGCCACATATGGATGTGACTATTGTATTTTTTTTTTTTTTTTTTTTTTTTTTTTTGGTTTTTCGAGACAGGGTTTCTCTGTGTAGCTTTGCGCCTTTCCTGGAGCTCCCTTGGTAGCCCAGGCTGGCCTCGAA